AAATAAACTAGCTCTTCTATGTCATATTCCTCTAAATTGAAATGTTTGTTCCAAGAAGGTAAACAAAAGGTCATATATACAGAAAGCACAGAAATTTGGGGGTGGGTGGATGGAGATTGCCTAGAGGTTAAGAGCACTTATTGCTCTTATAAAAAAAAACCTGAGTTCGGGCTGGAGAGATGGCTCAGAGGTTAAGAGCTCTTCCAGAGGTGCTGAGTTCAATTCCCAGCAACCACGTGGTGGCTCACAACCATCTGTAACGAGATCTGGTGCCCTCTTCTAGCCTGCTGTCATATATGCTGTATACATAATAAAAAAAAAAAAAACCTGAATTCAATTCCAGTACCCACATGGTGGTTCACAACCACCTGTACCTTCACTTACAGGGTATCCAATACTCTCTTCTGACATCCCTGGGCATCAGGAACACATGTGGTACATATTGATATGCAAGCAAAACACTTAAATGCATAAAATAAAATAAATGAATCTTAAGAGAAAAAAAGACAAAAGAATTTAAATAAAGTATAGAAACTTGGAAGACTGTTGAGCCGCCTCACCAGCAGTATAAAAGAGAGTAAGCAGCCGCTAGGGTAGAGCCTCTGTCCAGCCAAACTGCTGGAAGAGATCTTGGCACTGGGGCTGCATGGAAGCTGAGTAGAAGAGATCAAGGGAAAAAAAAAAAAAAAGAAGAGATCAAGGGTGGGGCTGGAGAGATGGCTCAGAGGTTAAGAGCACCGACTATTCTTCCAGAGGTCCTGAGTTCAATTCCCAGCACCCACATGGTGGCTCACAACCATCTGTAATGAGATCTGGCACCCTCTTCTGTGTACGTAAGAAATAAATAAATCGCCGGGCGGTGGTGGCGAACGCCTTTAATCCCAGCACTTGGGAGGCAGAGCCAGGTGGATCTCTGTGAGTTCGAGGCCAGCCTGGGCTACCAAGTGAGTCCCAGGAAAGGCGCAAAGCTACACAGAGAAACCCTGTCTTGAAAACCAAAATAAATAAATAATTAAATAAATAGATAAATAAATAAATCTTAAAAAAAAGAAAGAAAGAAAGAAAGAAAGAGATCAAGGGTGGCAGGGCCAGGAGTCTTCACCTACGCTGGGATGGGCTTTCTGCTGATGCAGCTGCTTTGGAGCTGTTTCTGCTCTTTGTAAAACCCCTCCATAATCCTGTTAGTAGCCCCAAAATAAACATGCATTTGTTCACCAACTGGACTCTGGATCAACAATACTTTGGACTATTCTGGGCTCTTTTCTGGGGTGAGTAGATGTGCATTGTGTTGAGTCTCCCCAGGAAAATTCTGTCATACAACAACTCTAAGCCCAGGTTAGGGGTGGTCCTGTGAGGCCCCACTACCCCTACAATCCAAGACAGCAATAGATTTAACACATGGACTCTGTACTTTCAACTTCACACCTCCATCATCTCAGGTTCCCACCTTCTCTTTCCTTCTGTTTACCCATATTTAGCTCTGTTTCCTCCTCCCTAAGAGAGAACAGCCCTCTTCAGCTAACCTCTAGAGGTGCTTGCGGATCTACCACTAGGGGCCTACTCCTTACGGCAACACTTCTTTCACATACAGGCATGCCCTACCCCTATCACAAATTTGCATTTTAAAACAATATTTGGAAAAACTCCAAGGACAGTGACAATTACAATAGAGGCCAATCCTTGAATCTGTGACATCCTAGACAACGAAGGGAAAGCAGCCAGGGACTGCTCTTGGTTAGTGTTGTACAGAATATCACCTTTGTGACAGAGTCTAGCCTATGTTCTTGACCTGATTTGCTACACGTAGAGCATCAGGGCCAGGAAAAGGGGACTGTTTACAAAAGAACAGCTTGTTTACCTAAGTAAACACCCACCACCTGCCAGAACACCAAGACACATTGACCATATCAATAAGTAACAACACCTGAAAATATAACAAATCATAACAGAAACGCCAGACACAGGAGCTTTTGATCCACAACAGATGGAACCCTTCCTGAGACTGTAAAAGACGAAAGTGTGGCAGGCATGAGTCATGACAGGGTCAGTTGTCAAAAGCCAGGAAACTTCTCACCAACCTGCTAACATGTCCCCCACCCCAACCTTGCTCCAGCAGTTTCTTCATGGCCAAACACTCAGCCCACTTCAGACTCACCATCCGACAGCCTGCCCTCCCAGGGCAGATGCATTCGGCATCTCTGCACCTGCACTGCTGGCACTTCTGACCTGGTCCCTACAGACTTCCCCTTAGGCCTGTGACGTCAGGCCAGGCTGTGATCTCTGCAGCCTCTTCAACCATTTCCTAGCCATTCTGTAACCTGAGCTGTCTATCATTATGTGATCTGCTGGGTAGTGTCAATGATCAAACTGGGATAAAGGGAGTGGTAGTGCACATCTTTCATCCTGGTTCTTAGGAGGCAGAACTAGGCAGCTCTGGGAGTTCATTCACAGCCTCCTCTATCTATATAGGTGCAGGACAGCCAGTGCCAAATAGTGAAATACTGTCTTCAAACAAACAAATCACAACAATTAATTTGGGATAAAAAGCCAAACATGGTGGTACATAAATTTTAGTACCAACACTCAGATCTATGGGAGTTCCAAGTCAGTGTGGTCAACATAGTAGAGTTCCAAGCCAGGCAGGACTACATAATAAGGCTGTCTCAAAACACAAACAAATAAGTTAAAAGATTGGAGGGTTTTGTTTTGTTTAGTTTGTTTGTTTGTTTGTTTAAGTCTGATTGTCACTGTCCAGATAAAAAGGAAAGTCAGGCTTACTTGGCAAATTACCACCAACGAAACTGACAATTCTGGTGACTATGAGTAGTTAATAAATTCTGACACTGTAACCTACCTGGCAGAAGTGAAGATATTTTCTAAAGACTGAAACAATGGACCCCAAAGAAATGGGAATTTCCTTAAGAATCACATGCTGAAAGAAGAAAAAGGTGCCAACCAGGGGAGGAAGCTTTTCTCTCAGAAAGGGATTTCACATCCTCTAACACCTTGTCAGACCCCCTGTTGGGAAGAGGCTGAATCCAACAATGAAGGTCATTGGAGGGCGGGACCACACCTTGACCAGCACTGCTGGCATTTGCATGTCCTTGGTCCTCTTTAAACTTTCTCACTTCAGGACCCTGAAGGGGCCTCCCTGCATCTAGAGCTCTGTCCCTCTTTCCAATGTGCATCCAGTCTGTCTGGTCCCAGGAAATCCATTTTCCCAAAGTCTGGCAGTTATACAAAAGCCAACATTCCCTCAGGAACTTGAGAAAATAGTTCTTACATGCTAAAACATGAAATTCTCATTATCTCTGGCAACAGGGACCTATGGCTTTCCCAATTTTATATATATATGCTTTTGATGACTATTAGGATATCGAGGTCTATGCTAGCCTCTAAGCTCCTTCAGTCCCTACTTACAAGATATACACTTCAAACCCTAGCTCAGGGGCTACCCTCCTCCTGGATACCTCTTACTTTAAAACCCTGGAACATTATCTCCTTTAGGCTCTCTCTGCTTTCCTGAGAGACAGCCTGGGCAGTTTGTAATGAACGTTTCCCTCTTTCACCCAGAGCGGCAATTCTGGCTTCTTTACTGCGACCATTTCATCCACATACACTGACGCGTCTTTTTCTGCTTTTCACTAATAACTTGGCTCTTTTTAATGGCTTATTGAGAACAGGTGGCTGGATGTGACTCGGGGCACAGGTTGGTAACGCCAAGTTCACATAAACCTGTCTGTTGTTTACGTGACCGGCTTAAGGCTCGCGGGGTCACTGTTAAGATAAACGATGTTATAGTTTGGCAGAGAAGAAATTCATTGGGTGAGTTATAGAATCAGGGCACATGCGGCCGTATTGAAGTCCTGAAGGGAGAATCAAACTTCAGTTCTGGAGGGAATGAGGGGAGTTAATTGCTCAACAAGGTTTGGAGTGAGGGCGGTAAGATTCCCTGTGACGTAACCTAGCCTAAGCTCTGGCAGTGTGAAAAGGGAATGCGGAAGGAACTGATGAAGACTAGAGCCATGACTACGCCATCCTGTATCCAGACATTAGGGAACGGAAGGAAAATAAGAGTCCATAGAGACTTGGTTTCCCCCACCTTAACGGCAACTGCTCTTAGTGATGGGTAAAAGCCTTGGGTCAGGAGAAATTGAGTCAAGCCTGCTGGGCAATGCCTCTAGCCATGAACAATTGCGCAGCCCCAGCTTGACCATTCCGCTTCACCTGTGGAAATAATATACCCAGAATCGAAAACAGCCCTTCCTGCTTCCAGTCAAACCACAAAAAAATAGCCAAAACGTCTGGACCAACACACACACACACACACACACACACACACACACACACACACACACACAGAAACACGCGCACGCATGCGCGTGCGCGCACATACAAACATACATACACACACAAACACACACATACACGCACATATGTATGTATGTCCCCCAGCTCCATAAGTACACTCAACCTTCATAAGGGAAAGGTTGGGATCCCCGGTGGTTTTAATAAAGTGGTCTCAGCCAGGAGAGATCGGAGATCAGATCTGTTTGTTTTGCCTTTTTTTTTTTTTAACACTGAGTCACAGGTGTTCTCGGTAGCTGCTCCCAGAGACACTGGACTGTATGGGGTGTGGCAAGATTTTAGGAAGAGAGGACAGTGACCTCAACAGTCACCACCCACGCAGATTTCACTCCCCTACACCTTCGCACATGAGTCCCACTTATTCTCAAGGTGCCTCACGACCCTCAGTCAACACCTCCCAGAATGCAGAGACTCGAGCTGGGGGCGTCCATCTGTCTAGTGACTCCGCAGGAATGGACAAGACCACCTCTCTGCCTGCAGGCCCAGCTCCACCCACTGCGATCCCCGCAGCGCGGCCCAGCGGAGCCAGACCAGATGTAGGTGTGAGGGAGGTCGCGTACCCATTTCGGCAGAATTGCAGCATCCCCTTGCCCCGCCAGCGCCCCCAATCTGGGACGGCCGGTGGCACTTACCATTTCTAGGCTCCGGTTGTCCTGCTGTCCGCCCGAGGCTCCTGAAGTCAGCGAAGGCGACCTGTCAGGCCTGGGATCTAGGATCGACTTTCAAAGAACACACACTTGCCTAATTTCCAGGGAAAGAAAGAAATGGAACTGATGGTGACAGATTCCCTCACCTATGAAGCAAACTCCTCATTGGGCAGTACATGCATTCAAATAAGACCGTGATAGGCCAGCAAGCCTTAGGCCCGCCTCCTGGAGCACAGGGTGGGGGTTGGGGGTTGGGGAGACAGGAGAAGCAACTTTTGCTGCTCTTGGCCTCTCCAGATCCCAGAATCCTGCTGTCACCCATGCCTGAGCCCCATGAAGGGCTAGTAAGGGGTGCTGAAGAAAGCTGGAAGGTGTGAAGGCAATTGTAGACCTTGGGGTTGGGTGGAAAACGCCTTTCAGAGCTATAGTCAGCGGCTGTATCTGCCTCCCTGCTCTGGGGCTGTTGTGGTCTCCCTCAAAGACCAAGTACCTTCCAGGAATATGTCAGGGCTAGACAAGCATCTTTGTGGTAGAGCTTTTGCTGAGCATATGTGAAGGCCTGGGCCCAGCCCTCGACCCCATTACACCTGCATTAAAAATAAGACAGGAATAAAACTGAAAACAAAGTACTTGAAACAAATAGTCATTTTTAATTATGTTTACGTGTACCTGTGTGGGGGTTTGCTCGTGTGAGAGCAGTACCCCCAGAGGCTATTGGATGGAATCCTGTGTGTCATCCGTGCTGCTGTACAAAATGTCGTTCCTTGTTGTGGTGAAAACAAATGTCAGGGTTAAAATGGATGTTAGGATGTTGGGTTGAGGAGCTGGGAAGATAGCTTAGTGACTAAGAGCACCTGCTGCTCTTGGACAGGAGCAGACTGCTGTTCCCAGCACCCGCCCGTGGCAGCTCACCACTGAGTCTATCTCTAAAGCAGTAATTCTCAGCCTTCATGTTGTGGTGACCCCCAACCATAAAGTTATTTTTATCGCTACTCCATAACTGTAGCTCTGTTGTTATGAATCGTAATGTAAATATTTTTGGAGATAGAGGTTTGTCGAAGGGGTCACAAGCCACAGTTTGAGAACCACTGCTCTAAAGCATCTACTATCCTCTCTGGCCTCTGGGGGTTACCTTCACACACATATACATAAATAAATGTAAAAAAATAAAAATTTTGTTATACCTATACACAATTAGGTATGTAAAAATAATTTTCTAAATGTTGGTTGAATGTGGCAAGGTTAGGGACACTGAAGAAAGAAGTAGGAAGCCTTGCTTCTGGACATGAGGTTGCCAAGCTGACCTCAGGAGGAAAGCCAAGCTGATCTTGACGGTCTCAGACTGGCATGTGTGAAGCTCACCCCACCCGGGAGTCCTTTCACATGTCCTTGCACTGTTCTAGCTAATTTTATGTCAAGCTGACACAGACTAGAGTTATCTGAGAGGAGGGAACCAAAGTTGAGGAAATACTTCGATAAGACGGGCTACAGGCAAGCCTGTAGGGCATTTTCTCGATTAGTGATCAATGGGTCAGGGCCCACCCCATTGTGGTTAGGGGCTTGGAAAGCCAGGCTGAGCAACCAGTGGGGAGCCAGCCAGTGAGCAAATCCCCTCTATGGTCTCTGCATCAGCTCCTGCCTCCAGGATCCTGTCCTGTTTGAGTTCCTGTCCTGACTTCCTCTGATGATGCACAATAATATGAAGTGTAAGCCAGATAAGCCCTTTCCTCTCTGTTGCAGCATGGGTGTGTGGGTTCACGAGTATCCGTGGAAAGAATACTCAGAGGCACCTTAAGAATGAGTCTAGCCTTTTGCAGCTGCATGGAGATCCAGTCTCTAAGGACTGAAGCACTTTTCCCTTCATCCAGGGCATTTTTATTTTTCTCAATATTTACACTTTAACCAGTTGATTTCCATATGTTCAAAACAACCTGAAAGAAGCTCCCAAAATACAATGCCAAGTGCAAATTTCTCGATTCATCAGGTGCCACAGTTTTCAGGGTTTTCCCAAACCAAGTTTCGCATAGGTTTTGTGTCCTTGGAAAACCCTCAGACAGAATTCACGTAGGATGGTGAGAGAAACAAAGGATAACTGAGAAACAAAAGATGAATTAAGGTTAGGTGCTAGTACTCTGGAGCCAGGCCAGCTGCAGCCCAGCGGGAATTCTCCTATCACCTCTCCAATCTGCTCTTTGGTGTTGGTGTTCCATCACAGCCATACTCACCCACCTAGTCATGCACCCAATGCATCTAACTGCAACAGACTAAATCATAGTTATGAACGGCTTCAAAAAGCTTCCACCTTTCCAGGAAAGAGAACACCCCAGGCAAACCAACAGACAAGGGAGTAATCAACTTAAACTACAGGAGCATCTTGGTATCTGTGTCTCCTGATGGTTGAATGCCCATTTGTGACTAAATAAACTTGAAACTGCCGTTAAGCATTTCCACTCTCAGAAACTAATGCATTTATCCACAAATGCACTGATAAAAGGTCTGAGTCCTCAAAAGACCTGCTGCCATTGTAATATCATTATAGCCCCTTTTGTGAAGGTCACAGGAGAAAATATCCTAAAAGAAAGAACTATTCCAGTGTGACTTGGAACAAAAAAAAAAAAAAAAAGTGCTACCTACCTTGTACATATGCATCAAAACAACTACTTCTTTTTTTTTTTTTTTTTTTTTTTTTTTTTGGTTTTTCAAGACAGGGTTTCTCTGTGTAGTTTTGGTGCCTGTCCTGGATCTCGCTCTGTAGCCCAGGTTGGCCTCGAACTCACAAAGATCTGCCTGGCTCTGCTTCCCGAGTGCTGGGATTAAAGGCGTGCGCCACCACCGCCCGGCGCATCAAAACTTCTTAAAGATCCACAGTACTGGAGAGATGGCTAAGTGGGTCCTCACATGTACCTGGTGGCTCGCCATCTGTGACTCCAGTTCAAAGGTTTCTAACACCATACCGTATGCATGTGGTGCATAAATACATTCATGCACACACACACATACTAATATATATATATACACACACACATTTATATTGATTCTATATCTATATGGAATCCACAAAGCAGAACCATGCTGCTCCCTGCCCTGGAGTGTTTGCTTTACTTACTTTCGCTACAGGAACTTCTATGCAAACTGTCCGGGGACTGACAGATAGATACTCCTGAAACATCTTGATGAAATAGTTGATTAAGTTCATGCAAAATTGCTTGAGACAACATCTCATTATAGCTGATGCCAATGTGGTGCTCTGTAGCCAGGCTGACCTTGATTAACCTCATGGTGATCCTCTGACCTCAGCCTCCCCCCTGGGATGATAGGCATAAGTTACCATACCTGGTTAATAATGGGATCTTTTTTTGTTCTGCCTTTTGTTTCTTCAGACATAGTTTCTTTGTGTAAGAGCCCTGGCTGTCCTGGAACTCATTCTGCAGACCAGGCTGGCCTTGATCTAACGGATCTGCCTGCCTCTGCCTCCTCAGTGCTAGGGTTAAAAGCCTGTACAACCACTCACAACTATGGTGGGATCTTTTAAGGCTGCATTGAACTTTGCTAACAATTCTTCCGACTATTCCCTTAGAAGCTGAAACCAACAGTTCCTTACTTGAAATGAGTAATACCTACCCTGTAGTTTTTTTTAAAAAAGGGGTTGGGGGTGTTGCTGGGTATACTGACTGGCACATGCCTTTAATCCCAGCATTGAGGCTAGCTAGGAGTATATATTGAGGAGCTATTTCACAATATAGAAAGTAAGCAAGAAAGGAAAAAGTTTTCTTGAGGCCTATTTGTTAACCTGAATTCTGTCACAAGGACCCACATACTTACACACATAGGGATTCACACCACTGTGATCTACTTTGTTTTTGAAATCGATTCCAAAACATGAAGGCATTCCCACACTTTGTACATATGAAAGTTGCTGGGTTTTTCCCCTAGTGTGAATTCATTTGTGCATTTGAAGGTAACTAAGAAGGGAGAAGGGGAGACACATAAAGCTGAGGCTGGGAGGACCCAGAGCAGTAGGGTCCAAAAAGAGAAAGGTATTGCAGGCCCCCTCCCCATTTTTGGCATACAAACCATACATAGCACTTTAAATCATATACACAATTTTGCATAATTACACACACATACATGTATATACATTTTTCAAGACAGGATTTCTCTGTGTAGCCCAGGCTGTCCTGAAACTCACTTTGTAAATCAGGTTGGTCTTGAACTCACACTGATCCACACGCCTCTGCCTCCTGAGTGCTGGGACTAAAGGCATGTGCCACTACACCTGGCTTTGTTGCTTATATCAAAAAAATGAACTGTTTCATGGCATGTGATAGATGGGATAGGACTCAACACATGTGACCTGTAAGAAGAGACCACACCAGTTTGTCTTGGGGGACTTCATTTCACCCCACAGCACTGCAGTTTCCTCACCCCTCAGGATGCAAGGCTGCTCCCAAGGGCAGAGTTATTTGAACTGAGATGCCTGTACTTGACCTGGGAATGGGGGCTCCAACAGCACCTCCACCCATGAGCACAGTTACGGACAGTTTAGTCACTCAGTGCTTCCAACACACACACACACACACACACACACACACACACACACACACACACAAATAAAAATAATGATAAAAATGTATACCAAGGCCTGTGAAGTTAAATGATTAATAATGGGCAAAAAATATTTTAAACAGTCAATTATTAAAGTATTGTGTACCTGGAGATGCAAATATAAAATAGTACCTGCAGGGGTTCTGTGGTGAAAACCACAGCACACAGATGAAAGAGGGCCAAGATCTTAACAAATGAATCAACATACTATGTTCACTAAAGTGAACTCTTAGTCCTGCTTCAAGAGGGCATACCACCTACTCAGCAATATAAAGTCTTGACATACATCATGAATGAATCTCAAATACAATACACCGAGGAAAAGACCTAGACTCTAAGCTTGTGTCCTATAGAAACCACCTTATATAATTAGGCAAAAGTGTAACTTAGGAGCTAGAGAGATTGCTGAAGTTAAGGGTATACCAGTCTTACAGAGGACTGGACTTCAGTTCCCAGCAGCCTATGTTGGGAAACTCATAACTGCATGTAACTCCAACTCCAAGGTATCCAGCACTTGTGGCCTCTACAGGTACCTTCAGACACATACCCACAAACAGACACATAATTTTAAAACATGATAAAATCTAAAGTGTCCTCCTATATAGTCCTTGATAACCATGAACTCACTCTGTATCAAGGATTGGCCTTGAATTTGAAATCCTCCTGCCTCTTCCCTCAGATTGCCAAGATTATAGCCATGAACCATCACTCCCAGATACATTTGAAAATTTCAATTACCAAGACGCTATGTCTAATTGACAGCCACTTGCTAGGGACAAATTAGTTTTCCCCAACAGAGCTGCACCGGGTAGACAAACCATGTAGACCAATGCCCTGAAATAGATGGCCAAACAGAATGAACTCAATGATCATTCTGGAGATTTGTCTTGTATTGCTTAGGATAATTTTTATCTTACTGGTCTTTTGCATCTATTATATGGTTTCAAATTTTAGGTTTTGATGCATATTGCTTGAGTCTGTGTGTGTCTGTTTGTGTATATGTTTCTTGTTACTTTTTGTTTGTTTTGCTTTATTCTCGTTTGTTTTATTCGGCTGCTTGTTTTCTACATAGAGAGAGAAGGAAGGTGAGATGATCTAGGAAGAGAAAGGGAAGGGGAAAACATGATCAGAATATAATGCATGAAAAATTTATTTTCAATAAAAAATAAAATCACTAAAAAATTTAAAAATCTAAATGTAATATTAGGGTGGAGCAAAAGGTGACTATATTTACATATTTTCGTGAGTAGACTAGACAAGGATAAAGAGAAAAGGTATTTGCTTAAAATGGAGTAATACGCAAATGAAGAGTAACTGCTTTTCTGTGTATTATTTTTAATGAGGAATATATATATATATCCCCTGTCAAAATACTACTTAAACATGTTATGATAGAAGACAGGAAGGCTGTAGTGAGCTTAGGGCCAGCCTAGGCTACATAATAAGTATCAAGGTAGCTAACAGTGGCTTCTAAGCTAGAGCCTGCTTCAAAGAGGCAGGAGGTGGTGCTGGAGAGATGGTGCAGTGGTAAGGAGCACAGGCTGGAGCTTAGAAGACCTGGGCTTAATTTCTGGCACTGCAACATAGAGACTCAAAACTATCTGTAACTCCAGTCCCGGGGGTCCAATGCCCTCTTCTGCCATCATCAGGCATCAGGCACACATGTGCAGCACAGACATAGATGCAGGCAAAATACCCACTCATGAAATAAATCTTTAAAGTTAGAAATTGAAAAAAGGAAGACACATATATACACACACACTAACACACCCAGAAAGGAAGGAAGGGAGCATAGACTCAGTGGGTGAGATTGTCTGATTAAAATCAAATATCTCTTAATGAAACTTGTTTCCCAAACTTGCTATTTCCTAATTTTTGAGTTGAACCAAGAAATGGTCCCACATACTTTCCAATGTCAGGAGTTCTTTCAATACATTCTTTAAAGTGCTACCAAAGTGAAAATGGAGACGCCACAAATTAGGCTACCCTTGGTGAGTTCTTTCATGTTTATAAAAGAACTTGGGATAACAAAGATTTCTAAGATTCCTTATAAATGAAGGGTTTATCTCCAAAATGACTATAATGTCTTTTGCATTGTGTGCATAAGGTTTCTCTCCAGTGTGAGCTATTTCATATCTTCTCCACAATGACAAGAATACAAAAGACTTTATCATGTTACTTGCAGCTTTTCTCCAAAAGGCTTTTGTCCTGTGTCTGCTTCCATGTATTTGAAGGGATCTTCTAGTACTAAAACTATATTGATTCAGAAGAATAACTTCTCTCTATTAAGACTTCTTTGACATTTCCCCACATTACTCGCATAAGCTGTTTCAATCTTTTGTGGTTTGTTTTCTGTGAGACTTAACAAAGAGGAGGCATTTTCATGTTACTTACAAACACCCTTATTAGTTCTACTATGAATTAGTTTCAAGTGAGATATCTTCAAATAGCCTCTCCCAAATGTCTTACATTCATAGGGTCTGTTGCTGCTATGGATTCCTTCACATACTTGAGCCTCAAATAAATGACTATAGGCTTTCCCACATTGCTTACATTCATAGGATTTTGCTACAGTAAGGATTATTTTCTGTTTTCAAAGAGAATTGTCAGAGCTGAAAGTTTTCCCACATTGCAAACACACATAGGGTTTCTCTCCATAGTGATTCCTTTCATGGCTCCAAAATGGAGGAAGAACAAGTAAAAGCCTTCACATACTGCTCACACTTGTAGGTTTTTCTCTCCAGTATGCATTCTATTCTGGAATTGAAAGGAACTGTAATCATTGAAAGTTTCCCCACATGGCTTCCATACATAGGTTCTCTATGAAGTGTGAATTTTTTCATGTCTTTTATGGTTACCAAAATGAGCAAAAGTTTTCCCACAGTGTTTGCACACATAGGGCTTCTCACCAGTGTGAATTCTTTCATGTGTTTTTAGAGTACCAGAACAAGTGAAGTTTTTGCCACATTGCTTACAAATGTAGGGATTCACACCACTGTGCGTTACTTTATGTTTTTGAAATTGATTCCAGAATGAGAAGGCATTCCCACACTGCTTACATACATAACGTTTTTCCCCAGTATGATTTTGTTCATGTATATGAAGGTAACGAGAAGCAGTGAAGGCTTTCCCACATTGCTTACATACGTAGGGTTTCTCTCCAGTGTGAATCCTTCTATGAATTTGAAAGTAAACAGAATGAAGAAAAGTTTTCCCACACTGTTCACACTCATAGGGTTTCTCACCACTGTGAATTCTTGCATGTCTTCGAAGGCAAGCAGAACGAGAAAACGTTTTCCCACAATGATTGCACAGAAAAGCCTTCTCACAATTCGGATTCATCTTATGTCTTGAAAGGTTACCTAACCGAGCAAAGCCTTTCCCACACAGTTCACACACATAGGGCTTCTTAGCACTGTGACTCTTTTCGTGACTTCGTAAAAGACTGGGATGGGTGAAGTCTTTCCCACATTGCTTGCAAATGTAAGATTTTTTTGCATGGTCATGTTCTTCATTCCTTTGACCAGATTGGTGACCAAAAAGGTCTTCTTTGCAGTCCTTATTTTTAGGTTTCTTTCTAGTGTGAGCACTTTTATGCATCTGAAGGGTCAGAGGAGAACTGGAGCTGCCCCCAAACTCCTTATGTTTATACAACTTCTGTCCATATTCCTGGTCTTTATGAGGTTTGGGTCCTGCTTGATGGTTCAGGGGTGCACTTAGAGATGAATGGCCAATGCTTCCTTCTCCACACACATGTTTATCACATGTGGTAAGTCCTGGACAAGATTTCAGGTTCATAGAATGCTTTGGAATACAGCTGAAGATTTTTGCATACTGACGACTTTCTTTATACTCACAGAATTTCTCTACCAATTGGCTGTTGCAAAACAAGTGAACAGTACATGATTAATACTTTGTCTATTAATGACTGAACAAAAGAAATGTTGGTTTCATGCTGGGAAAAGTTTGTAACATGTTTGGACTGCATGCTCTCCAAGATGATTAAGGAGAGTTACAATAGAAACAATGATATTCATATATGGTGGGGCATGTCTCTTTGAGAACATTAAATATTCACAAGCATTTCAACCCAAATTTAAATTCAAATCTTATGCACATTTTGGATGTTTGGATGTCCAATGGCATCAATCAAAATCATGATTTTGTTTTTTTCAAAACAGGATCTCACTGTGTAGCCCTGACTTCCCTGGAACTAACTCTGTAGACAAGACTTGCCTCAAACTCATAGAGATCCACCTGTTTCTGCCTTGAGAGTGCTGGGATTAAGGGCATGCACCACCACTACCCAGACAGTCATCTATTTTTAAATGCATGTATATCCATGACATAAAGTGACAGTACAAATTAGCAAATTCTATCTTCTTTTCATTCCCAACTTGTCTCCATGGCTTGTAGATAAATCAACTGCATTAAGTTTCAAAAATGTGTCCATTTACTGTGTTTGTAGGTGTGCGTGTGTGCTACGGTACATGAGAGGAGCTTAGGATAGCTTTCAGGAGTGCTGTTTCCTTCCATGTCAGTGAAGCAAGGTATCTCTTAGAAGTACAGGGATTATAGATATGTGTTGTTTTATGTGGGTTCTAGGAATTGAATTCAGGCCATTATGATTGTATTGCCAGCCCTTAATAACAACTAGGCAATCTTTTGGTCCCCCCTGTATAACATTTGAAATGATGAGGTGTGCTCTGGTTAGTTTTCTGTCAACTTGACACAATGTAGAATCATCTTGGAAGAGAAATCTCAGCTAAGAAAATGTCTCCATTAGATCATATTTAGGCAAATCTGTGGGGGCATTTTTGTGATCAATCATCAGTGTGGGAGAGATTAGCCATCTGGGGGTTGTATTGCCCCCAGGCACCAGGTGGTGCTGATTATATAAGAAAATATATAATTTTCTTATTTTTTGTCTGAGCAATCCCTGGAAAGTAAAGTAAGTAGTTTCCTCCATGGGTCTCTGTCTCAGTCCCTGTCTCTGGGCCCCTGCCCTGCCTTGAGTTCCTGCTTTGGCTTCCCTTAATTGTGGACTATGATCAGGCTATGTAAGCTGAATAAACCCTTTGCTCTGTCTACATAGGAGAAGGTGGAGCCTCAGTTACAGTGGACACCACAGCATGTTGGCAATACCAGTAGGATGGAAGCACCCAGAACAGTAGCCAGTGTGGTACGGTACTGGCCTGACAGTAGAAGATAATCTGTGTGCTGCTGGTGGCGGAGCTGGGGAAGTGGATCCGAGACTTGGGAGCCCAGGAGATGGTGTGTCAGTTTCAGAGATGGGACACTGAATTACTGATACTGAAGGAGGTAGGTTTTGCTTCGCTTTGATTGTGACTATGTACTGCTGCTTGCCTTTTAGAGTAAGAAATGATGTAACTTTTTTTTTTAGCATTGCAGGGGCCCACATGTCGGAGATTTCAACATTTTAAAGACACATTTGGTTTTGAAGGAGAACTTACACTTATAAATGCTGAAATTTTGTAAGACACTTTCTTATGTTTTAAATTATATTTAGATATCAACATGACATCTTGGGGACAAAGAAATAGGAAAGATTATGGTTTAATAGTGATATGTTTGTGTGTCAAGTTGACAAGGGGTCAATTGTTCTGGTTAGTATTTTGTAAGCTTAATGAAATGTAGAATAATATGAGTGAACTTCAATTGAGAAAATGCCCCCTACCAGATTGGCTTATAGGGAAGCCTATGAAGATTTTCTTAATGGATCTGGAAGCATCCAGCCTACAGAGCCATTCTGAGGTTGGTGGTCATGTGATATATAAGAAAGCAAACTGAGCAAGCCAAGGGGAGCAAGACAGTAAACAGAATACCTCTATAACCTCTGCCTTCCATTCATACCTATAGGCCCCTGTTGGAGTTCATATCCTGACTTCTCTTGATCATGGACTGCTAACTACAAGGTGTAATTAATCCTTTCCTCTCCGTGTTGCTTTGGCTTATGGTCATCAGCACAGCAATACAAAGCCAAACAAAGACATTCTGTATGGCTTAAAGTTTGTATATATGAACTATGAAAACACATGACATTCTAGTTGTTTTCAACATTACAATATTCAGCATCTTCTAGTGTTGATGTTTACGACACAAGTTTTGGAAGAAATTTTCTTGAGATGAAATTGGTCTGACCATGGATATCAAATGCATCTTTTACTTCTTAGTAAAGTGTTCTATTGTATCACCACTTGGGAATATCATTATCTTTTAGGAAACAAATTACCTTAGTTTTCTCCAGAGATTTTCGTACTCATTTAAAACCTTCTGTTTGCCTGACTTCTTTCCTAAAATGCAGACCCAGAGAAATTACCAATTATTAATTATAGAGAAAATATCGAATGCCAGTTAGATTAAGGCTTAAGTGATCATATCTGATATATGTACCCCCATTTTCGTTCCCATATTCCAATTCATACATCAACACTGATAAGCTAGAAACACTGTCCTGTTGATGCGTTAGAAAAGGCAATGCTCATGTGTACCTATAGCAGCCAGGTTCCTCAAGGTTTCCTGCATCACATCTTTGTACAGCTTCTTCTGGGATGGATCCAGCAGAGCCCACTCCTCCTTGGTGAACTTCACAACCACATCTTCAAAGCTCACTGACTCCTAAAAGCACACACATATATTTCCCGCAAAGTGAACCTCATGGTACTGGAGATGTACACAGAATTAATGAGAAGTTGACATGACACTATGTTCCACAAGTTGTCTTCATCATTGTAGGGAAAAGGGACTGGCTAAAGAAACCCACCCTGACCCTGGAGCCCAGAGCTAGGGAAAGATGGCTCAGATTAGGGCAGAAAGAAACACAATTTGGCTCAGGAAGATCAGAGCCATCTCTGCCCCTGGCCAACTGACTTGTGAAACCAACCAATCACAGAGCAGGATAGTAGAACCCTGGGCCCGGGGTTCACTCCACCCCCAAGACTTCCTGTGTAAACCACCCTGCATAGTCAGTTAGAAAAAAAGGTTTTTCTCTCCACCCTGGTAGAGGCAGCCACTCTCCTGGACTACTCCTTCCCAAATAAATCTCTTCCTCAATGGCATAGAGAAGATCCTTGCCGAGATGTCCCCCAGTGGACAAAACAAGAGAGAGAGCTGAAAGAGCAGGGCAAGGAGGAGCCGAACAGAAGATCTTTGCTCAGATGTCCCTCAATGGACAGAGAGAACTATAAACAACACTTTTTTCTGGAGCTGGAGGAGATTGCTACTTTTCTGCAGGGGTTTCCCCTTTCGCAGAGTGAAGCAAAAGAAGCAATATCTTAGGCCGGAGAAGCAGAGCTCTGCTAGGAAGTCCCCTTAAGTGGGGGCTGAGCAAAGCTCAGCTATAGAGGCTCTCCAGGAGAGGAACAGGATTGTTATATCCTGCAGAGAGACCATCCCCCATCACACCAGGTATACCTTGACTTTCCCAAAAAGTCAGGATGCCCTTCCCTGCTGAAGCAGTTCCAGGCCTGACTCTCCCGAGAAGTCAGAAAAATTTCCTTTCAAGGGTTGGGCTGTTTCTCTGCAGTCCCAGCTGTCAGCGCTGTGCTAAACAGCTCTAGGTGTTCGTGACACCTTCAGGGCAGAGCAGCTTGAGGTGTCTGGGATACCTCGCCCTCCAGGGTTGAACTGTCTCCTTGCAGTTTCAGCCATCACAGCTGTGCTACATAGCTCAAGGTGTTGCCTGACTCCCCAGGTAGTCAGGACACCAAACCCACAGAGTTGCAAAACTCATGTTCTGCAACCAATTTACCTACATTTTTGGTGCTGAAACCTGGGGACCAAACCCAGAGGTTTTTTTTTTGTTTGTTTGTTTGTTTTTTGTTTTTTTTGTTTTTTTTTTTTTGTTGTTGTTGTTTTTCGAGACAGGGTTTCTCTGTGTAGCTTTGTGCCTTTCCTGGAACTCACTTGGTAGCCCAGGCTGGCCTCGAACTCACAGAGATCCACCTAGCTCTGCCTCCCGAGTGCTGGGATTAAAGGCGTGCGCCACCACCGCCCGGCTAAACCCAGAGTTTTTACAATCAGTTTACTAACATTTTTGGTGCCAAAACCCAGGACACCAAACTCACAGAGTTGCAAAACATGCAGTTTACCTACAGTCATCACACTCTACTGCTCATATAGGCTAAGATTCCTCCAAACACAATCTGGTGCTTTCTGGGAAGGAAACATGAAGATAGCATGAGCTCTTGTGCACACCACTGTGCTAGTTTCTCTTTCTGCACTGCATCTTTCTAACAACTTTCATCACAAATTCTGATGGTCTAATACCCTCCAGGGAGTCAATATCAGCAGTCCTTAGAACGTGTGTGCTTAGAAATGCTGGACAAAATAGTCTCCTGGCATCTGGGAACTGAGATCTCCAATGATTCCTTCCCCTCATAGCTGTAAAGAACAAGGTAGATTTCTCAGATAGTTGATGACAACTATACCCCAAGTTAAAAATATCATTACCTGTTTCCCCTAAGAATCTTAGCAATAGTTTCACATGGTCATCAGAGGGATGCTATCTGGTTAGAAACCAACATATTCTCTACATGATGATTCTGTATCATCTGGTTTGGCAGACAGTATTTCTACACCTTTCTAAAACCATGATTTAGTGTATATTGTGTGGAGAGTGTGAGCATGCCACAGTGCTCTAGTGAAAATCAGTTTGTGGGAGTTGGTCCTTTCTTTCTAACTTAGCAAGGGTTCTAGAGATTGACTTCAGACCATGAGGGTTGCATAGCAAGTGCCTTTACCTGCTGAGCCATCTCAGCAGGCCTCTACTTCATACTTCTTACAAATTGTTAGGAGCCTGAATATATGTTCTGTGACTGCACTACAGGCCAGTATTACAAGGTATACAGCTGGGTTCTTTGCTCCGGTCCTTAGTCAAATATTAAACAGGACTCATGACAAGTAATTCGTTTTACTTGTGTCCTATTTTGCTTTCCTTGGCTATATCATCATGACCAAATGCAACTTGGGCAGGAAAGTGTTCATATGGATTACAGGTCACAGTCAATCATTGGGGAAGCCAAAGCAGGAGACTCAAAGAAAGAACATTCAGGCAAGAACTGAGGCAGAGAGCAGAGGTGAGCACTGTACAAGCCCAGGTCCACATACCTGGCATGGCAACACCCACATTGGAGTAGGCCCTCCCACATCAATTAACAATCAAGGAAATGCCCTGAAGGCATGCACACAGGCCATTTTCATGGAACCAATTCCTCAACTGAGATTCCCTCTTCTCAAGTGTGTCATCACACTGGCCCATCACACCATTTTTATTTGAGAAAGTCACTGGATAATAAAACAATCAAAAGATGGCACATGATCTTAGACAAAGTTCTAATTCACCAACATGTCACCTCTATAATTTCTAAAACACGCTTTAAAGTAAAACACTTGACCAAAGCTATTAACTGCAACAAATGTCTATAATAAATGTCTAAAACCAGTCCCCTCCACAGGGCACTATGCTCCCTCCCAGAAGCCACAGGTTGTCAACTAAGGCAACAACAGATTTCATTCTGACTGGACTTAAGCCCCATTCCACATGAGGAAAAACATGTCTGTTCCTGTAAATCTGACTGAAAGCTGGAAAGGTCACAGGCCTGAGGAGTAAATCTATTTTATTGTATGGTAACACTTTCAAAATGCCTATCTCTATGGTCACAAGTGCCACACTTATCCTCATGGGAGATGTTTCTGTGTGCAGTGAACATTGCTTAATGCAGGAACCTGCAACTTGTCAATGTGAAGTGAAGAACCATGTATGGAGTGCTGGGGCATGAGTGGGATATCTACACCACGCCTCTATCCCCCACTCTATTCCCCCAGGCTCAGGGAACATTGAGGAAGAGGGGGCAGAAGGACTGCGAAAGCCAGAGATTGGAGTAAAACTGTCTAGTGGACACTACAGGACTACAGTATAAAATAACAGCACTTCTGTTTGTCTGCACAAGATCAAGGCAGTCAACATTCCATCATGGATGGGGGAGGGGCTAGAATAACCGACCCCCACACCATTAACTGAGGAGCTACTCACTGTTAATGGCTACTAGGAAAGGAAGAGTCAGTTTGCTTTAAAAGTTTGGCTGTTCATAAATCAGCTATACTCTAGTGCATGGCCTTACAAGCATGCATATAAAAGGAGCAAGATACAGTAGACCAAATAAATAAATAAAATGTTTAGTGAGATACGGGGGGGGGGGGGGGGGGGGGGGGGGGGGGGTTGGGGAGAGATGGAGAAGTTAGGAAAAAGCATGAGGTTTGTGTGAATATGCTCAAACATATTTTCTACATGTATGAGATTCTAAAAGCAAAGTAAAAAAAAATAGTACCTTTAAAAATAATTAAGCTAGACAGTGGCACATTAGTCTCAGCACTCAGGAGGCAGAGGGATCTCTGTGAGTTCAAGGCCAGCCTGGTCTACAAAGTGAGTTTCAGGACAGTGAGAGCAGTTACACAGAGAAACCTTGTCTCCAAAAACAAAAACAAAATAATAATAATAAAATAAATGAATAAAATCAGAACCAAGTGGTTGCTGCATACTTTTAGAGATCAGGGTGGCATCCGTGTCCTTGCATCTTACTTTTTTACATTGCTCCTATTAAAACACGTGCCCTCAACCACATGCATTTCAGATTAGGACTCATTAAGACTATAAAGAAAAATCAGGGCTGGAGAGATGGCTCAGTGGTTAAGAGCACTGTCTGTTCTTCCAGAGGTCCTGAGTTCAATTCCCAGGAACCACATGGTGGCTCACAGCCATCTGTAATGAGATCTGGTGCCCTCTTCTGGCCTGTAGTCATAAATGCTGTATACATAATAAATAAATCTTTAAAAAAAAAAAAAAGAAAAAGAGAAATCAATTAACACTCTAGCCTAAAAACTGACAAATCATACTCTAAATAAAAGCCATAAAAGCTTTGAGAATTATCTTTATGGCACCTATTAAATAAATATTGTCTATGTGTGCACATACCTTTATATTGTAAACATAGTACCACATTTGCTTGTAAGATGAGTGGGTCCCAACTGGAGAGGATGCTCAACAGTATTTGCTGTTCTTGTAGGGGACCTCAGTTCGAATCTCACCATCTACATTGTGTGACTATCTACTGCCTGTAACTCAGTACCTCCAGGAACTCCAACACCTCTGGCCTTGCATACATATTAAAAGACTAAAAAATATAATTCAAAATAGCTAGACAGAGAATAGTGAGTCCTCACATAAATTAAAACTCTAAAATTAGCCCAAAGTCCTTCTACTTTACAATGTACTTAAAATTTTGAAACAAAAAGGTTCTGATTCCTGGCAGCCCTTATAAATTAAGCTTGGCCACCAGTCCTTATGATAGGCTAACTGGAGAAACAGCATCAACAAGGGCATAAGGTGTTCTTCTCTTTTTTTAAAGACTTCAGTTTTATTTCTAATGTGTTGTGCATCTGTGTGTGGTGTGTACACACGTGCACTCAAATGCAGTGTTCTCAGAGGCCAGAAAAGACTGTCCAATCTCCCTGGACCCAGACTTTAAGCAATTGTGAGCCGCCAGATATGTGTGCTACAAAAAGAGCATGGGACCTCTGAAAGAGTAGTATGAGCTCTAAAACTCTCAGTTGTCTCTCCAGGGTTAGAAAACATGAATTTTTAAATTCAAAGTGCCCATCTTGGGAGAACCTAAAAACGGGGTCTGATGTCCTCAGGTTCATGTTGTGGACTGGTGTGATCTTCACATTATAATAAAATTCAAACATAAGTCAAGAAGTACACACGCGCCGGGCAGTGGTGGCGCACGCCTTTAATCCCAGCACTCGGGAGGCAGAGCCAGGCGGATCTCTGTGAGTTCGAGGCCAGCCTGGGCTACCAAGTGAGTTCCAGGAAAGGCGCAAAGCTACACAGGGAAACCCTGTCTCGAAAAACCAAAAAAAAAAAAAAAAAAAAAAAGAAGTACACACGCTTGTGTATTCTTGATGGGGTGGCATCTTTTTTGATCATTATCACATTGGTCCTTAGTGTTGATGCTGTGAGATGGTCAAAACAAATCCTTATTATTAAAAAAAATAAACTAGCTCTTGTACAGCATGTTCCTCCAAACTGAGATGTTTTTCCCTAAGCAGGTAAACAAAAAGTCACATATATCCAGAAAGAATAGGAACGTGGAAGACTGTTGAGCACCTCCACCAGCAGTATAAAAGAGAGTAAGCAGCCGCTAGGGTAGAGCCTCTGTCCAGCCAAACTGCTGGAAGAGACCTTGGCACTGGGGCTGCATGGAAGCTGAGTAGAAGAGATCAAGGGTGGGGCTGGAGAGATGGCTCAGAGGTTAAGAGCACCGACTACTCTTCCAGAGGTCCTGAGTTCAATTCCCAGCACCCACATGGTGGCTCACAACCATCTGTAATGAGATCTGGCACCCTCTTCTGTGTACATAAGAAATAAATAAATCTTAAAAAAAAAAAAAAAAAAAAAGAGATCAAGGGTGGCAGGGCCAGGAGTCTTCACCCACGCTGGGATGGACTTTCTGTTGATGCAGCTGCTTTGGAGCTGTCTCTGCTCTTTGTAAACCCCCTCCATAATCCTGTTAGTAGCCCCCAAATAAACATGCATTGGTTCACCAACTGGACTCTGGTTCAATAATACTTTGGACTATTCTGGGCTCTTTTCTGGGGTGAGTAGATGTGCATTGTGTTGAGTCTCCCCAGGAAAATTCTGTCACACAACAGCTCTAAGTACAATCTGGGGTGGTCCTGTGAGGCCCCACTACCCCTACAATCCACCACAATAGATTTAACACATGGACTCCGTGCTTTCAATTTCCCAGAAGGAAGAAACCACAACAGTAACAAGACAAAGACATTAAATTTCATGTGCTTTTGTTACCTTCCAAGTCAAAAGAAAACATGTTTTTGTTTGTTTGTTTGTTTGTTTGCTCGTAAAGCTCAAGGACAAATTTATTAGAGCTTGAAAAACTGCAGGGCAAGCAAGCTGTAAAATGTCAGTAGCTGCATGGAAGAAGAAAATGGAAGAGAGAAGAAAGAAAGGACCTGCCACCATTCTAAACCGTCAAAGAGGTCCCCCTCATGGTGGACAATCAGCTACATAGTGGAGATGAGGCTTCAGAGAACCAGGAAGCCAAAATATTAGGGGGAAAGCCCAAAGCATTAAAGAAAGCTTCCTTAACAGAGTCAGCAAGAAAAGGGGCAAACATTACACTCCTCTGAACCATTCTGAAAAGTGGGTAGTCTTAAATGTTCCATGTCTGGGGTACATGAGCTACTGCAGTGTTTCTCAATCTGTGGACCTTTTGGGGGGTCGAAGGACCCTTTCACGGGGGGGGGGGGGGGTAGCATATCAGATACCTGCATATCAGATATTTACATTACGGTTCCTAACGGTAGCAAAATCACAGTTCCGAAGTAGCATCGAAAATAATTTTATGATTGGGAGTCACCACAACATGAGGAACTGTATTAAAGGGTCACAGCGTTAGGAAGGTTGAGAACCTCTGAGCTAGAGTCAAGGAGGATTCCTTTAACAAAATTCCTAAGTGCTTTAAGAAAGAAAGGAAGAGAGAGAGAGAGAGAGAGAGAGAGAGAGAGAGAGAGAGAGAGAGAGGGAGGGAGGGAGGGAGGGAGGGAGGGAGGGAGGGAGGGAGGGAGGGAGGAAGGAAGGAAGGAAGGAAGGAAGGAAGGAAGGAAGGAAAGAAGGAAGGAAAGAAAGAAAAAACAGGACTTAAATCTCTAATGTATCAGTTAAGTTGTTTGAGACTAAGTAAGCTTCAGGAGAGTGCATGTGCTTCACATGCAGAAACAATATGTCCAGGTATCAAAAACAAACCTCCCCCTGCCCCTACAGTCCCGGTCAAACCACAAAAAAATAGCTGTAACTTCCTGGTGGCTACCTATGTGTATATACATATGCCCCAGACCCTCGGGCACTCAGGCTTTGTACTGGAAAGGTTCCTCGTTGTTCCAATAAATTGGTCTCAGTCCATCGAGATCGTGTCTGCCTCATTTTTTTACACTGAGAGTCACAGGTGCTCTGGGTAGCTGGACCCTGAGACACTGCAAGGGATGTGGCAAGACTTTAGGAAGAGAGTAGCAGTTACAGACCCAGTGTCCTAACCTTCACCATCCATGCTGGTCCCTCCCGCCACACACATCTCCTCCACACATCCTACACATAAGCCGCAGTTGGAATCCCAAGGTTCCCCACGACCCTCTCTCTGCCCACAAGGTCCAGAATGCAGAGACCACCCGGGCTGAGGGTGCCCAGCACTGAGCGCTCAGCAAGGGACAGGACCGCGGCTGTGCCTGCTGACCCAGCTCCACCCAGCGGGACCCGGGCAGCGCGGCCCAGCGGAGCCTGATGAGTCACAGACGCAGACTCGGCTGCCTTGGAAGTCCTGGTCCCATAGAGCATCCCTTCTTCTCACATCCAAGATGAGGGCGGAACGTACCATTTCCATCCACTGAGTGTCCTGGTGTCCTCCTGCCGCTCCTGCTGCCAGTGAAGGCGATTTTGATTTCTAGGCCTGGGATCTAAGATCTACTTATAAAGAACACATACATGCATGGGATCTAAGATCTATTTACAAAGAACACACACATGCCTGAGGCGAGGAAACTAACAGACCTGCAGGCAGCTTTCTGCACCTAAGAAACACACTCCTCATTGGCCAGTTCACACACTCAAATAATTTTCTGATAGGCCAGCGAGCCCTCGGCCAGCTCAGGTCCTGGAGCTCTAATGACAAGAGACAAGTTTTCCTGGGCGAAGTAGTGAGGAAATTACGCGCTCTGTGCCCTAGCTTTCTTTCTCCATCTGGGGGAAAGTGCATTTAAGCATAATTTGTCCTGGCCTCCACTTGCTAATAACAATTCTTATTTCTTCCGCCTCAGTGGGTGACAGCAAGTGTTTAGAGAATTCCAGACTCAGTTGCCATGGAAACAATTCAAAAGGCTGCATTGAACAGACTGGTCCCGCTGGATAAGGAGGGAGGGCCTCATTAAAGGAAATCCCCTGCCCCCATCACCCTACAGCCCACCAACCTGCTCAAGACTTCAGGAAACCTTCTACCCACAGAATTTACAAAAACAAGCAATCTGGTTTACCTTTCACCCTGCAATTTAGAGAGAGAGAGAGAGAGAGAGAGAGAGAGAGAGAGAGAGAGAGAGAGAGAGAGAGAGAGAGAGAGAAACAAAAAAATAAAAGAAAGAGAAAACCAGTTTGCCCAGAAAACCGGTTTCTGGGCCTGTTGAAGCCAGGACCTCCCCTTCCCTGCTCTCCACTGGAAAAAGTGATTCTCAGCCCCTGCACAGTAGGTTCAGGTTTGAAGGCCTCAGTTTCTCAGACTAATAAAAGTATGCTCTCAGCCAGGCTGCAAGCCCTTAATCCCAGCACTCAGGAGGCAGACACAGGAGGATCTCTGTGAGTTCAAGGCCAGCCTGGTTTACAGAGTGAGTTCCAGGACAGTCAGGGCTACACAGAGAAACCCTGTCTTGAAGGGGGGAAATGTCTGCTCTCTCCGTTTTACAGTCAAACTGAGCTATTTTTTCATTTTCCTTTGCTGACCTATTTCTTACTACACTGCTATTTTCTCACCTCAGAATTTGGAATGAGGCCGGTGCCCAAGGCTTTCTCAATCCCATAGTCAACTGATAACATAAAAACACTCAAATAAGCAATTACAGTTAGTCAAGTCACAGAGGAAGTGGAATTTATAGTGAAAAATTGACCCCAAATAATAGCAAAAATCCCTGTTAAGTATCAAACCTGGGACAAATGGTTAACTGAGGGGCCTGTTAACATCAAAGCAGTCGCTTTCTGCCAGCTTTTCCCAGCATCTCTCAGTAGCTATGACAGTCACCCTGGCTGGCAAACTCACCTGCCACCCTAAACAACAGCCCAAGGACTGGGCTGGGCCTTTCCTTCCCCCAGCTTCTCTGATTCCTGTTAGTATATTTAAAGGCTTTCTCAGAACTATGGACTTCGATGGATGAGGTCTTTGCTTTGGTTTTGGCTAGTGGTGCTGTCTGTGGGTTGTTTTACAGGTGGATGGCACTTCTATCATGGTGTCAGTTGTGCTAAGGTCTGGGGCCCTCTTACAAATGGTACCCCCAAACCCTGGGGCTCAGTATGCCAGGGTATAGGAGAGTGAGCCTTACAGGGCCTGAAAATCAGTGTTTGTGGTAGAGAGGAGAGAGGAGAAGGGCCTGGCTCCACCAGACACAGAAACTGCTTTTTATTTTTGTAAACTGCAAAGTGAGAGATATGCCAGATTCCGGGGGTCTTTGAATTTCTGGGCTCCAGGCACATGATGCAGCTGGCTGCTTTCCAGGAACTCCATGGACAGCACACTTTTGAAGCCTTGGGCCTGTCACATGGCCCTGGTTTAGGGTTGAGGTTTCCTTTAAACATTCTCACCTAAACTCGGGAATACAGACACCTTTTCTCCACAGGACCCACACTGTTGAAGGCTTTCCCTAATCCTGGCCTTCACAGGAACTGTGCTTTTCAAATCAACACACTATCCAGAAAACACCACCACCCCAGCAGCCACCACTTCAGTCACATCTGCACCCCAGTTTCCTGTGTCCCTACTTCCCACTCATGCTCTACACACAGACACTTGTGTAGAGACGAAAAGTTAAAAAGTTAAAGTAAAAGTTAAAATTTTACTCCTTGGCAAAAACCAAGGAGTAAAATTTCCCTCTTAATAGCAACAGACCGTAAGGTTTCTCTGTGTAGCCCCCAGATATCCTGGAACTCACTCTGCAGACCAGGCTGGCCTTAAACTCACAGAGATCTGCCTGCCTCTGCCTTCTAAGAGCTGGGATCAAAGGCGTGCACCACCACTGCCCAGCCATGATATCTGTTATAAGCAATTAGTACCTAGCTCCTAAGCCTTCACCTCACTTTACATGCTCTGGGAGACAAGTGTCATTGTAAACTTACTCCCTCAGGAGAGTAGGCCTTTTTCTTTCATTCTAGTAAGTATGTAGAGGTATCATGAACCATGAGGCAAAGCCAGGTAACTTCTCCCAACCCCTGTAAAGGATCCATGTCCTCTCACGGGCAGAATTTTCCCTTCCTCTTTCTCTGAGCATTTGCCTGCAATGCCTTTGTTCACTGTTTTACTGTCTAGAGATCTTTTTCTAGAGATTGGGTTTGTTTTCTTTCCCAGTTTTTTAAAAAAAAAAAGAAGGCAGGAAATAGCCTGAGTGTGACAGGTAGCAGTAGGGGAAATTCTTGAAAACAACAACTGGGAGCAGACAGAATCAATGAGAATACACAACCCTTAGACCTTACTCTTGTACCCAGAGTCCCCCAAAGACCACCAAGAGACCGAATCCAATGCAAAAGCAAAGAGTCTTTTTACTATTACGAGTTAACTTGGGACTCTCCGCACGTCTGATGTAGCAACAGAGCAGGAGAGACCCGGAGCAGCAATGGGGCAGGATTTTTTAAAGCAAGGGGGGCTTGGGATCTACAGACCACATAAGAACAGATTCAGAATTGGTTTATGTGAGTGGCAATTATGTTAGTAATTAATTGGCTACAGTTAGTTGGGGGTTACAATTATCCATTTTTGGGCAGGCACGGACAAGTCCAGGCTTTGTCCTTGAGCTGCCATGGAGGCTGGCTGGCCTAGCATGTACTAACTCTGGGGTCTGCTCAGTGGCCCAGGCTTTCACATTGACCCATGCACATAGCTCTAAGTTGGTGAAGGGTCCCAGACAGTAAACAATTGGCTGAACCTTGAGCAATCAGAGCACGTACAGAAAGGGAGCTACTGCAAGGACTATGTCTTTTGTTCATGACCCTCCCAGAAACTGCTTGCTCAAGTCTCAGGAAACTGAAATTGAGGCCTGATCTCTGAGAAAAGACTGAGCGGCCTGTTATGGCGTCTGCTTGGTCCTTTCACTCACTTTGACAGCAACAGCCCTATGTTGGTTCTGTTACTCGAAAGAAGTTTAGCAGCTTAGGGTTGGGGCTAGATAAGCTAGAAAGTGAGGACTGATCCGGCTTCAGAGGCATCTCTCCTCCAGGACACATACCCCAACCCTGTCTCATTTCCCTTTCTTTCTTCTTCCTCTTCCTCTTCTTTTTTAAGACAGGGTCTCTCTGTGTAACCCTGGCTGACCTGGAGCTTGCTCTGTAGAACAGGCTGGCCTCGAACTCAAGAGATCTACCTGCCTCTGCCTCTTGAGTGCTGGGATTAAATATGTGCACCACCTTGCCCTTCCCAAAGTTTCTTTTTGCTTCTACAGATGGTCATTCTATCTACTCAGGTCCCCCAAAAGAAAACCATTATTTTCCATTGCTGTCCTGTAAACAAGGCTCCACAAGGAAAGAGCAGAAGGGCTCCAGGAATTATCTTCTTTACTCACAGTTCACAAGGAACCCCACACTTAGATCGAATATGCTCCTAAGTTTAAACACCACATTCACTGTTATGCAGCCCAGGATACCTCCATCCCAGGAAAGGAGGGAGGGAAACCAGAGGAGGCAGAAAATGTCATTCTGGGACTTCCACATCCCTAACTCCTCTCCTTTCAGTATGAAAAGCTCCCTCCTCTACAGGCTCAGTAGTGGACAAACCTTCACCACAGTCAATTGAACATTTAACTTGTGTATCCTTCTGAGATATCACCTCTGACATTAGCTATGTGGGTTTGCAGAACACCAATCAATTTTCAAACACAAACCAGGTACCTTACAATTCAATTCTGACAATACCCAGATTTGAAAGAACAACAAAATTATTAGGGTTCCACCACACTATTACTACTGCAGTCCAAAGCATGCTTTCCTATGTCTAGACACCAGAGCCTCCTGCCTCAAGGCACAGAAGGATGATGTCCTAGGTCAGAAAAATGGCTCGGCCAATAAAGACCCTTGTTGTGATGGCTAACAACTTAAATTCGACTCCCCGACCCACGTGGTAGAAGGAGAATCGATTCCCATGGTTGTCATATGACCATCACATGTGCTCGGTAGCATACTTGAACCTCCACCCCCCACGTAAATTAAAACATAATAAATCTGAAAAGATGTATTCTTTTTTAAAATTTATGTGAGCATATAGGTGTGCTTGTATGCATTTTTGTGTACTACATGTCTGCCTCAATGCCTGAGGCAGCCAGAGGGTATCTGATGCCCTGGAACTGGAGTTACAAGCAGTTGTAAGCCACCATGGGGGTGCTAGGAACCAAACCCAGGTCTGCTTTTAAAAGATGCTTTTAACAGCTGACTCATCTCTCAAGTCCCAGTTAAAAAAAAATTTGGGGCTGGAGAGATGGCTCAGAGGTTAAGAGCACTGCTTGTTCTTCCAAAGGTCCTGAGTTCAATTCCCAGCAACCACATGGTGGCTTACAACCATCTGTAATGAGATCTGGTGCCCTCTTCTGGCTTGCAGGGATATGTGCAGACAGAATGCTGTAGACATAATAAATAAATAAATCTTTAAAAAAAAAAATTTTTTGAAGATGGTATCCTGAATGACCTCATTAGTATATGGTCATCTTTGTCTGAAAGAAGTACACAATAGCCAAGATACTCCTTAGGAAATTCCACAAGTTTTGGTGCTCTATCCACCAGAAATTGGGACTAACACCAAGTATTATTATTTTTAACTATATTCCCCAGATAAATTCTCAAAATCATTTTTAGAACTCTGAGAGTTGGAAATTTAGACTACCTAAGTGAGTCTTTCTCTAATTTTGTTTATGTGTACAAGTTATAGACAAACCTCAAATTCTACACGTGCATTGCTGGCTAGTTTTATAACAACTTGACACAAGGCAGTGTTGTCCTTTTCTAAATGGTTGCTGCTTTTTAAGCCACAGCTGTCTGAATCAGCAA